GCGGGATGGCCATCTGACAGCCATGCCGATTCTGTGAATTTATGCTGCTGAGATCTAAGAAAAGGCTTTGAAAAGGGGCCGCCTGCCAAAGACTCCCAAATGTTACGAAAGTTATACCGATAAAAATTAACAACTGAAACTCCTATTAAAAATAATGCAATACTAATACATTCACAAGTTACAAGATACCAGTCGCCAGCCAGTCCAAAAGGATGTAATTAAATAATCAAATAAAGAACTAGCTCGAGCGTCCTATACACGCAAAAGGTAAAGGTTCCCTTGCTCGAAAGCCAGTCGAATCCGACTCTAGGGTTGCGGTGCTCATCTCTGTTTCAAAGCCGAAGAGCCAGCGCTGTCCGAAGACGTTTCCATGGTCCTGTGGCCGGCATGACTAAACACCAAGGCGCACGGAACGCTGTTACCTTCCCACCGAAGTGGTACCTATTTATCTACTTGCAATGTCTTGCTTTCGAACTGCTAGGTTGGCAGGAGCTGGAACTAGAGATGGGAGCTCACCCCGTCTTGCGGCACCTGGGTCTTGAACTGCTGAACTACTGACCTTCCACAGCCTGCAGTTCAGCGTCTTAACCACTTGAGCCACCGCAGCTCCTATACACGCATACAGAATAATTCCGAAGTTGTACCTATTTATCTACTTGCAATTTCTTGCTTTCGAACTGCTAGGTTGGCAGGAGCTGGAACTAGAGACAGGAGCTCACCCCGTCTTGCGACACCCGGGTCTCGAACTGCTGAACTACTGACCTTCCACAGCCTGCAGTTCAACGTCTTGACCACTTGAGCCACCGCAGCTCCTTTACAGAATAATTACACAAAGACAAAACCATCACAATGAGGACAAGTGACGACAACGAGGAGTCAAGAAGCCAGCGATAGCGACACAAGGTCCCTGGTTTGCTTCCCTTGTTTCCTTAAGCGTTCTTCCTCAGTCGCTGTGAAACGATCAAAAGGAAACAAAGGCCATTGCCGTGGGTATCCAGCTCGCGCTTACAAAGCTCAAATTCTGAACACTCTGGAGGACACTGACTCATCTATTACGGAGCAATAATCCTGTACAGGATGGAATCGTCAGCAAATCTTTGGCAGGCAGCCCTTTTCCAGAGTCTTCTCTTTGATCTCGGCAGCTCTTTGACTCTGTTGCTCATTGTCTTTACTGACCGATTCTGTGGATTTATGCAGATCATGAGGAGGGAGGGGCAGGAAGGGTTGCCTCAGGGCTTAGTTCTCATTGTGGCCCTTTCTGACATGCCCGGGGAAATAGTTACAAGAATGGGCACAGTAATGAGACAAATGAAAAATGGAAAAGAACTGTGACAATTTAGCGCTTAATAATATATTCATAAATCATAATATACAATAACAGAAATGTAAATAGAAATAGTGAATGTAGTAGACGGTGGTCTCCGGAATGATGTGCCGTTTCGAAGATGATCTTCTTCTGAACAAGGAGGTGTACCTTATCAAATATAACAATACAAATCTCATTTAAAAACTATATCTAACAATGTACAAATATATAATGTAGATAAGAATAAAAATAGTATGAAACCTTACATAAACTGTCC